CTCTCTCTCTCTCTCTCTGCCCTTTGTGCTTCTGCCTTCCATGCCACTGTCTGTCTTCATTTTTGACTAATGAGTTCATTAAACATATTAGTGTTGCTCTGCCAAAGAGGTTAGATGCGGCGTGGTGAGCAAAAATGGGCGGTGTTTCCTAATTTTATCTGTATTTAGCACTGTGCACGTTTTGTCACGTGGCAAGCTCCATTTTTCTGTTTGGTTTAGCGCAGCAAGCCACTGCCAAGTGGAGTTTTATTTAAAATAGCAGTTGGATTTGTTTTTCATTTGAATTCTGTCTGCCATACCAGCCTGTCACCTGCACAGCAAGTGCCTCTGTTTGCATGAAAAGCCATTCTAATTTCAAGCATCACAGTGTTTTGGCCCACTGTACAGTGTGTGTGTAATGCTTGATATTGGCTTCAGTGTGCTGTTTATACGTTGCCTTTTTGCGAACTGTTGTCCCAGATATATCCTTTTTTTTTTTTTTTTTCTGAAAATGTCAGACGGATGAGAAGAGAAGGCTGAATTGAGCTATGGAGGAAACAAACAACACATTTGAAGACTTGTTCCCTAGTTTGGGGGCTTCATGCTATAAACACAAAGAACATTGAAGTGAAGAGGCTGTGCAAGATACGGAAATGCTTGTAGCAAGCTGCAGTAACAATACTACCAAAAGAGGGAGGCTCATCTGGAAGCATTGTTTTTTTTTTGGTATTGTTCTTCTCTGTGCAGGGTATTTCTGCTTCCCAATTCCAGACAATGTACTGTAAATAGAGCAGAAGCTGCTGAAAAGGAGCTTTTGCTTTTGTTGTTCCTGTTTTGAGGAGGGTAAAGACTGAACGGTTTACATATGGATATATGGACACACACATACATCTCTGAGTCTTATTAAAGACTTAGTCTGTCAAGAAAGATAAAGAATGGCTGGTTAATGTGTATGGTTCAGTGAGCAATCAGTGTACGTCCAGTGTTGGCATTTTGCCGACATTTTTCATGATTGGTGTTTAATGTAGGTTTACTGTCTAACCCTAACCCCTGTGCGTTAGAGTACGGACTGTAGAGCTAACCAGCTGTATACCCTGTGCAGGAACATACCTGTAGTCTCCAGTTTCCTGTAAGCTTGCTGAATGCAGCCTTTCTAAAGGGCAAAATCTGTAGGAAAAAGGCCTGTCTGCCATCACTCTTCTCTTGCTCTCATCCAACCGGAGGGTCATTATTATCTGTATTGTAAGACAGAGTGTCTGTCTAGTGATCGTACCAACCAATCACAGGGCGAGTGTGGGGCAGGTTTCCATGGAGAAAAGCGGGCCGGGCTGTGAGGCTGCTGAAGCTCAGCTTGAGCAGCCTAGCCTGATCCAGGCTGATAGCATTCTCCGGCAGCAGAGAAAGAAAAGGCCCCAGCAGGCTTGCCCTGCTGTCTGCCTGTCTAAATGTCTTGCTGCTTGTCTACCTGTCTTACTCAGCTGAATGTCTAAAGACAGGGTGGAAGGAGGGCAATTCTGAATAGGAATTCAGTCAGACAGGCACAATAGGAGCTTGGCCTGATAGCCATGTGGCATCAGATTGGATTTGTGTAGGTACTGGACTCTAGATCACACTATGCCTTAGCCTTAGCCATCTTGGGTAGGTTTGGAGGTTGTGTGAATGTGTGTTTGTTTTGGGTTGAGGGATAGACCAGTCAGAGATCCTGACCTGGACTCCCCCTCAAAGAGTGTGCTGCCCCTGCTCTGTTTGGCCCTGCAGGGAGGCTGCCCAGCCTGCAGAGCACTCACATCAGAAAGGATGTGTATTTGTGTGTGTGCACATTCACTTCTGTGTGCTTGCTTTTGCTGTATCTTGGGGAGTTATTGCTGCTGCAGCCTGAGCAGGGAAGTGGGTCTTACGACATTTCTTCTCGGCTCATTGGAGCCGTCCAGAAATAGGCATGTACCCATCCACATGCTGCTCTTAAATTCTCTCCTTCTCCTTTTTTCCCCTCCTATTCAATAGGAGGCACTTAACTTCCTTGTTGCACACCCTCCCACGTGCCTTTGCATTAATTTGTCTCTCTATATGCATATATATGTGTCTGTGTATTTATTCTGGATGTCTTTTTACCGTATCTCTGTGAATGCTTGGCACCAAGAAGAATGCAGCGAAGTTTGTGGCGTACCTCTGCATGAGGAACTGAATTCACATGGGTATGACACACACTGAGAATTTTTAGCTCATCAGAAGTTGCTGAGGGACTCACTGTGGGACACAAACAGCACCCCCCCCCCTTCCCTGCCAACCACCCACCCACCTACCCACAAAATCCCCTGATGCTCAGTGCCCATGGCCCATCAAACAGCGTGTCCACAGCTCAGGTCAGGATCAGTGCAGGCATGGAGGGCTGGAGGGCTGGAGGGATTCGGGGATGCCGCTAAAGATTCTGCCTGACAAGATCCTGCACTGTCTGAGTCTAACTTAAAACGGGATCTGAACCTACTTTGCTTGCTAAAGGGCTCTTTCTAGCATGGGAGCCTCCTGAAAGTACAAACCTACGCTAGTGGCATCTACGGATGGATGGGACAGAGATTTGGAGTGTAGAAGAGGCAGATGGGTACGGAGGGGAAATTAGTGGAGAAGAGAGAGGTAGTAATTGGGACAGCTGCGCAGC